GACGGTAATGCTGTAGATTGACGATAGTACGATTCGTTTAGAGTGCACTGAATCCTACGTCGATAGTGTTCCAGGCGAACAACGGATTCAGTGCATAACTTGTAAGTTATGGGCTCATTCCAAATGTGTAAGAGGTGATCTAATGTTTTTTTAATGCAAACACTACGCTTCTGATATTGAAGACTTTGAAGTTGAGTCATTAATTTTCAGATAATGATTGTAGAAGGAAGATAAACCAAAATATGTGTGTAAAAATAAAAAAAATTAATAAAAAAATGTTACCTTGTTTTATACAGTATCCTCCCGACAAGTATTTCAGTGCGGACCTGTATTTGATCGTGCGGTCTTGGAGCACCGGCATGCCCTCCCCTGTGAGGTCTTAAGTCACCTGATTCACGAGCCCTTTGTACTACATTAACAAAGGCACGAGGGGTTGGTTGCACTCGATTGGGAAACCGATCCGCATATATTCGTGATGCCGTGGCAGCATTTTGTAAAGACTCCCCCCCCCCCCCGTAAATAAGAATCATGTCCACAAGTTCAGCATTTTCGTAAACATGTGCCATTTTTTATTTCGTTTGAACCACTCAACAAACACCACTATTCACTCACGCGTTACCGACTGACACATTGACTGAATACAGCTGAATAAAATTGTAGTAAAAACATCGTGATAAGCGTTTCAAATTCTTTCGCTTTTTTGTTTCCGATGCGATGAACCGATAAGGCGGATTATATCCGTTGTTGCCAAACACGAGTACATAATATTATTATTGAGACAGGGCGGTACTCAAACTTCTAAAGGGCTATAACTTTATTACTTTAATTTTACCACAAAAATGTTGAAGGAAAAAATCATTTCTTTTGATCAGATCTACTCACTGTTAAAATAAATGACTCAACTTCGAAGTCACCCTGCATAAGATATAAAGGAACTGTTTAATTAATGAAACTAATGAATGTTTAAATAAAAACTAGGAGTTGATATTTTTCTTAAAGACTTATTGTAAGATAATGTCTGTAACTGATTAGAAATGTTTTTGAATAAAAAGTTTTGTTAAACTATAAAAAGTCATAGCTTGACTCTTCTCATAATTTGTCACTTATTGATACGTAAGTCTACTTACCCCGGGCATATAGTCAATCTACCCCGGAGCTGGGGTAAATTGACTAAGAATTGGTGTTCTGTAAAATGCGTTAAATTATGATATATTGAATAATGGACTAGTTTTTATATTTTTTTATAAGTTCAATAGTTCTTCTACCCATTGTCTGTATGTATAAAAGCACAAAGATATGTATGATTTAAAAAACTAGTCAACCATCCCCGGTCTCCCCTACTTAAGACAGAACCCTTTGGTATTAAAAAATTATGTCTGCAGTGCCATTACAGACATAAACAATCAGTTTTCTTGCCCATGGAACCCAAAATATACCTACCAAACCTACATACAATAATCAAATATCCTTTTATCAGGTACGTAGGTGCTCCACCAATGGTCAACTGCAAGGCCCCATGTGAGGACATCGCGTGTGGTGAACATGCTTACTGTAAAGCTGATGGAATTGAAGCCTACTGCATCTGCGAGGATGGTTGGACTTTCAACCCTGCAGACATCGCAGCCGGATGTATCGATATCGATGAATGTGACAAGGCAAATGGACCCAGTGGAAGATGTGGAGCTAATGCCATTTGCACCAATTTACCAGGTGAGAAACTATGATCAGATAAGCACAATGCACGGAATGATTAGGCTACTTTTTAACTTATTAAGCTCGATAAACATTAACAGCAATGGATTGGGTCACGATACTCAGCGTAATAGTTTTTGTAGGTTAACTTGAAAAATCTGAATGAAACATCAAGTTTTGGCTCGGGGAAATGGTGCATAAAATCGCTTCCAAACTAGATTAATTCTATCCCAATCAGTGACATGTCTGGGAATTATGCTGGATTGCAAACTGAACTGAAGAGAGCATGTTGAATACAAGGTTAGCAAGGCTCGCAATTCGATGTGGGCCCGTAGACGTGTTATCGGTGTACGGTGGGGGCTTAAACCCAAAGAGGTATACTTTTTCAATCGCAAAGGGTTAACCGGAAGTTAACTCCTAAAAAGCGTTTTCAACGCCAGATTTGTTCTAAAGCGGTAGTTAGGTTCGACCAGAAGATCATATATGGTTTAAATAGAAAGCTGTAGTTGAACCTATTGGAAACTCCATGACTGCGAATATCTCAAGCCTTAGCACTTCTAGTGGAACAGTGGCTCGTCCTCCTCCCAGCACATGGGGCATATAGGATCGTTTTCCACCCTTAAGAGGGTCCAGCGACCCTTCAGTCTACAGTAGTCAGCACTTGGGGGCCCGCTATGAACCTTTTAGCCTATCTTCAGTCATTTCTCTCGCCCTGGTCCCTACCTGCCTATTCATTCAGTGCGACGTTCACCTGGCGACTGCCTAAGCTCCTATTTTAGCCAGAGAACCTGTTTTCTCATTACCCGCTATTGCACTGTGTCCGGGAACCCAAAGCAGGATCACTTATTTGCATAGGGCTAAGGTCCGAAGAACCATAGTGCATTCCTGCACTATAGGTGGAATTTTTCATCGGAAATGCCACTGCCCTGGAGGTTGCTTGACTGTCGGAGCATATGAGTACCTTCCACAGGATGCACTGTTGAAGCTCCTATCAGAATGTACAACAAACATAATAACGCAAACGTCTCGGAGTTGTACCTTGGTTTTTGCTATTCTATCATACGACCTTTTACTGATGTATCGCTTTCAATTTCAGGTACTTTCGCATGTCAGTGTGAAGCTGGTTTCACAGGCAACCCCAACAGTCAATGCACCGACATAGACGAGTGTACAAAACCAGATACTTGCGGATTGGGTGCGATTTGCAAAAATACTCCAGGATCTTACCAATGTGAATGTCCCGAAGGCACAGTACCAGATCCAGATGCCAAGACCAAATGTAACGAGATAGTGACTTGTACCGGCGATGCTGATTGCCCAGGAAATGCAGTTTGTGACGGCAAGAAGAGGTGCTTGTGCCCAGAACCCAATGTCGGCAATGACTGTAGACGTAAGTGATAAATTTTATACATGATTATATAAAACATATAAGGGACAAATCGGGACTGCATGGTGGCGAATTTACCTCACATCTCCTCTTGATGAAACATTTGAAACCCAAATTTCCCATGGCACTGATCTATTATCAGGTAAATGACATTCTTGCAGTCAGATACTCTGTATTGCCTTGAACGATTCAAGTCTCTATATTCATGAATGGTTTTTGTTTATGGTTGTAGATGGCAGCTTAAGACGGCAGCTATGACATGGAGTCACAGCCTCACAGTCTTCATTATCCGAATATCATGTGCATACCAACTTTCCTAATACCAAGGCTCTAAATTGACAGTTTTCATCTTCATTTCGTCATGTTCTCTATCGCCCCAACTTAGACTTATGCACTGTTCAATCAGTTCTCAAAACTTCCTACGCGCCCAATGCCCCATAATAATAAGCATGTATTATGTGAGATCGCTTCATGTATTTTCATGTGATGTGATGTGAACATTCCTCATAATGTACATCTTCAATTTCTTTACAGATCCTTGCGAAGCCACAGTCTGTGGACCTAACGAAGAATGCATGTTGGTCAACCAAGAAGCCAAATGCATCTGCAGCAACGGATACACTGGTAGTGCCTCAGGCTGCGTGGATATAGACGAATGTGCTGGCAATCCATGTCCATCCGGAGCAGTTTGCAAAAACGAGCCAGGCTCTTTCTCGTGCCAGTGTCCAGGCGGTACCAGTGGAGATGCTTACAGAACAGGTTGCACGAAGATCTCCAAACCTCACGGCTGCTCCGAAGCCAACCCTTGTTCATCTGGAGAGCAATGCGTCCTGGACGACTTCCTCCAAGAGAGTGTCTGTATTTGTGTACAAGGCTACGTTAGAGACCCCGAGACAGGAAAATGTAGAGACAACGATGAATGTACTGAACTTAGAGACAAACCAGTCTGCGGCATCAACGCGATTTGTAAGAACCTTCCGGGTAGTTACGATTGTCAATGTCCGCCAGGTTTCAACGGCAATCCCTTTCTCGAATGCTTGGAGTGCAATAGTCCGAACTGCAGGTGTCAACCTCCGTATAAGCTCATGGACGGGAACTGCGTTCTAGCTAGTTGTGAACCAGACGGAAAGTGTCCCAGTGGAGCCGAGTGTATCACGATAACGGGAGGCGTCAGTTACTGCGCTTGCCCAAAGGGATTCAGGACGTTACCGGATGGATCGTGCAAGGATGTCGACGAATGTGCTGAACAACCACAGGTACGTAACTGCGTGTTTGTACTGTTAAGACCTCCTGAAATTTTAACTGAAACTCCTGAACGCTGGCAACAATCTGCAGCTACGTCATTTTGAATGGCCCGTAGGTTCAAAGCTCTGGGATATTCAAGTCTCTCTCCATCATTCAGTATCCGACAGAGAGGTGTCTAGTGTCTAGCCTTTGTTCTTGCTTCAGGTTTAGGTATCAAAATTATGGGAAAAGGAAGGGGAGAGGAAGGAAAGGGAGGGGGGCGAATAGCAAGGACTAGAATGTTTCTTGGTTGGGTAGAGTTACCTTGACATTGAGTGCCATCATGAAGAATCGTATACCGGTTCCTTTGGGTACAGTTGACAAAACACAATTGACTTTGATTCGAGATTCTCTTTAATTAAGGATTTATTAGATTTTAGGAGAATTCTTATCACGCTATAATGAAGAATTGATAGCCCCCTTTGACATTTCTCTATTTACCTCAACTTGTAACAATGGATCTTTCCCAACAAACATTCTGCGATTTTCAACATTTTCTAGATCGTGAAGAATTAAAGATTATTTCTTTGATTGATGCGTGCATTGTTCCCATTTCGTATCATGAAGCTTCTACTAAGGATAATATACGAGGGATGTCTTTTAAGTTTTGCACACGGAAATAAAACAACACGGTGGGTAGTTTTAAATGACTTTATTGTTTTTCGAAGTATTCTCCACGAAGATTAATACACATCTGCATGCGCTCGAACCAATTTTCGAAGCACTTATTCCACTCGTTTGCTGGCAGATCCAGAACGGCAGTTTTGAATGCGTCAACTGCTTCTTCTGGTGACTGGAACCTTTGATCATGCAGTCTGATTTTAATTTTCGGGAAAGTAAAGAAATCGTTAGGACTATATGGAGGATGGTCCAATAATTCCACGTTCTCTTCCGTTAAATACTGCCTTGTTTTTTGGGCTGTGTGCGAGCTTGCATTGTCTTGGTGGAGGATGATTCTTCTTTCGGGGTTGATTTTTCGAAGCTTGTTGATGACTTTTGGCAAACAAATGGTGGTATACCAATCTGCAGTAACAGTTCTTTGCTCATTGACACAAATGTCGCGACCAGCTTTTTCGAAACACTTCGAGAACCTTTGTTAGCTTTTCTTCACCTAGGAACACTCAAACAGCCGACTTTCGTTTATTTTCTGGTTCATAACAGTACGTTTTGCAACCATCCACAAGAACTGGAGGTGGAATTTTTCCACCAGTTAAAGCTGCCAGATATGTGGCGCAAATAAATTTATATTGTTTTCTTTCTGAGAGCCCACTGAAAACTAACTCCGTAATGTCAAGTATATAAGATAGATACATGTTTATTGATCTGTTTCTTGCAGGCATGTGGTTATGGAGCTGAATGCAGAAACATCCCTGGTTCTTACGAGTGTCACTGCCCGATCGGATACGGTGGAGAACCGTACAACGGCATCTGCGCTCCAGCTCAGAAAAAATGCATGGGCGACAAGCAATGTTCTCCGAACGAGAAATGTATTCAACCTGGAGAATGTGTTTGTCCACCGCCTTACTTCACTGATGCTGAAGACGGAAACAAATGCAAGAGTCCGTGTGAACGGTATCCGTGTGGATTAAACGCCAAGTGCACACCCAGGTAAAATTTTTTTTTACATCATTTTTGTTTATTCATAATCGTTTTTAGGTGGAGGACTCAGTGTCATCTAAGGAATCTTAAATTTGAAAATTCGTTCGAATGATGGTATCCAAGCATATCACAAATCATAACCGTAATCCATTCTACTATGGACGTTGTACCTATCATTAAAGTGCCATTTATTCCAAGAGCTCCACTCTGTGGCAATAACAACTGCGTATTAGATCACTGTGCCTCTAAAAGAACCCCGGTACTTTGCCAGGCGTCTTGAAGAATGCTCATATTAAATGCTCAAGTTGGGCGCCAGTCAAGGCTACCCAAATGGAAGCTCCGAAGTCAAGATAACCAAGGGCAGAAAGTATGAGATGTAAATCAGAACCCGAAGGAGAACCCCTGGAACAATGGGGATTCGCGGAAATAGCGGACTGGTCCTCAGGGACGTGAGTCCTACTTATAGATCGTTTTGGAGTGTTAATGTAGACAGTCTCGATCAGCTGGATGGTTCAGGTGTAGCTGCAACAACGACTAAATCCGCAAGAGGGCGAGATAAGGGCCCCTACAGCAAAATTCACCAATGGAGGCCGATTCCTAACAAAATCCCCACAACCCGGCAAACCGCAACATTGGGTGTGAAATTTCTTCACTAACGCAGGTTGTGGCCGCTAAACTGCTACACAAGAGCACCGGAGACACAACGACAATTCTATAACGGAACAATTCCCGGTCCGTGGTCATCCCCGCGTTGACTATACCGCACGCCATTTATTGTCGAACAGAAACATCAACCACATCCCGGCAATGACCTTTAAAGAGATGCAGAGTACGATCCTCCAACACAGAACCATTAGTTGCGATAAAAATAAAATTCAATATTTTAATAACTGTTATAAAATTATGATTCTAAATGAGAAAAACGTTCTAATAATTTATTTTATCAAGATACAGTTAATTTTTAATCGACCATAAAAGAAACTGTAACAAGTCCAAGAAGAGACATCTTGGAGGTCATGAAGGCCTATCACGTTTTTTTCGCGTTCTACTTTTGATCTAGCACTTTTCTATCGTTATGGTCTTGATGGGCTTCCACGTTCAAAGACTGCTAGATGTACCCACATGGTAGCGAGAATATGGATAAGTCTACCAGAATATGCACCTTCGACCTCAACTGACCTTCAAAAGTTCAGAATTCCAATCAACCTTCTTAAAAGCATCAGAGGTACCCTTGACCTGGACCTTTGCTGCTTAAGCTGCTTCAGCAAAAAAATAGTGTCAGATACCAGATATGTAGGATAACTCAAACATTTATTTATAATTCTAGTGACCCACCCAAGTGTGTATGCGAGACCGGCTTCAAGGGCGACCCACTCCAAGGCTGCGAAGACGTGGACGAATGCTCCGAGTCACCATGTGCCTACGGCGCGCACTGTTTGAACCAACGAGGCGGCTACAAGTGCGTTTGCCCGAAAGGAATGACTGGCGACCCTTACAAAGGCGGCTGTATCCTTGAAACCCCCGGATCACCAAAATCGGAGTGCCAGACAGACACTGATTGTGCCAGCATCCTCAGTTGCCAAGATGGCACCTGCATCAGCCCGTGTGCAACTGTGCTTTGCGGACCGCATGCCAGGTGTGAGCCGAAGAACCACAAAGGAAAATGTGTCTGTGACAGCGGATATAACAAGAATTCGGAAGGACACTGCGTATCGAGTAAGCATCTTGTTTTCCCAAACAAGTTTTATCTAAGTCCTTTTACCCTGATCCTCATTCATGTCACGTTTCTTTTTCTGGTATTAAACTCTTTAAAAAGATTTGAATGAACCTCTATATATTACAGCTCCATTGTAATATGAAGGTGCAATTTTTTGAGTATGCACTGAACTCAAAAAAGGCCATAGCATATTGAAAATTCTAAACCAATTAGCTCACTTAACGGAAATGCTGTTTTAAACTAACAGTTCTAAATCCTACATCACTCCATATCCATCACAGGCGTCATAGTAGTGGACCACAACCTCAAATATCTTGACATAGTGACATCACTGATCCTGATTCGTGGATGATTGATTCTTCCCCTTCGTCAACAATGCATTTTGATTTTCAGTGTGCGAAGGAACAGTTTGCGCTCCAGGAGCTCAGTGCATCGTAACCAGTTCAGGACCAACCTGCAAATGTCAACAAGATCTCATCGGCAACCCTTTTCCTGGCGGCCAGTGCACGAGGGACGTTTGCTCGAAGACGAATCCTTGCGAAGAACCAAACGTATGCATCAATGGACGGTGCAAGCAAAGATGTGAAGGGGTGATATGTGGAATTGGAGCTCATTGCAATCCTGATACCAATAAGTGCGTTTGCGATCATCTCTTCGTCGGAAATCCAAATATGTTGTGTATGCCACGTAAGTATTTTGAGTAGTTATATCTTTCGATATCTATAAGTTTTCCAACAAACATCCTCTCTTCGAAGTTGAGTCATTTATTTTAACAGTGAGTAGATCTGATCAAAAGAAATGTTTTTTTCCTTTAACATTTTTCTGGTAAAATTAAAGTAACAAAGTTATAGCCCTTTAGAAGTTTGAGTACCGCCCTGTCTCAATAATAATATTATGTGCTCGTGTTTGGCAACAACGGATATATCGGTTCATCGCATCGGAAACAAAAAGGCGAAAGAATTTGAAACGCTTATCACGATGTTTTTAGTTATATTCCGTCAATGTGTCAGTCGGTAACGCGTGAGTGAATAGTGGTGTTTGTTGCATGGCTCAAACGAAATAAGAAATGGCACATGTTTACGAAAATGGTGAACTTGTGGACATGATTCTTATTTACGGATTTATGCGGATCGGTTTCCCAATCGAGTGCAACCAACCTCTCGTGCCTTTGTTAATGTAGTACAAAGGGCTCGTGAATCAGGTGACTTAAGACCTCACAGGGGAGGGTATGCCGGTGCTCCAAGACCGCACGATCAAATACAGGTCCGCACTGAAATACTTGTCGGGAGGATACTTTATAAAACAAGGTAACATTTTTTTAATTTTTACACACATATTTTGGTTTATCTTCCTTCTACAATCATTATCTGGAAATTAATGACTCAACTTCAAAGTCACCCTGTAGAATTCACTACTTCTCGAAGACGCTCATTATGGATAAGTCTTGAATGACCAATTGAGGAACGATATAAGGGTCTACGTAATAAGTAATGACCTTAACACGTAGGAAGCTTCCCTTCCTATTTGAAGCTGAGCGACCTAGTGTATGGACATTATTCCAAGATCGAACACTTTAAATGGGTCACAATGATTCTATTTTCCAACTATGACCTTAGATGAAGCTACGTTCTTCGGAACTGAGATAAAATACAAATCGCAGGAACCATTTTCCCTCCAAAATGTAATGCCCTATGTACTCCTCAAGTATCCTTACATCAATCTCTTTTACAGCAATTACCGGTCCAACCTGCGACCCGGTCTGCGGAAAGAACGCCCACTGTGAGTACGGCCTTACCAACCAATGTGTTTGCAACACCGGTACAGTTGGCAATCCCTACGAAGCCTGTGAAAGGATCGAGCGAACTACCTGCAGTCCTTCCTCCTGCGGCAAGAACGCTGAGTGCAGAGACAGCTATAAAGGCATCGAATGCGTCTGTGGAAGGGGCTTCACTGGAAACCCATACATCTCATGCGAAGACCTAGACGAATGCGCTACCAATGTATGTGGAAATGGAGCTGTCTGTATAAACACCGTCGGGAGCTACGATTGTAGATGTAAAGAAGGATATGCTGGCAACCCCTTCGTCATGTGCTCGCAAGTCCAAGGGGGAATCTGCAGAGAACCTGAGAACTGTCAATGCAGCGACCAATTACTGTGCCCCCTTGGTTACAACTGTCAAAGAGGCCAATGCAGGAACTTGTGCGCTGATGTGAAGTGCGGTCCAGGCGCTTCTTGTGAAGGCGGTATTTGCATGTGTTCTCCAGGCTACTTCGGTAACCCATCTGATCTTGTTGAGGGATGTAAAATGCACGGACAGTGCAGTAGCGATGCAGATTGTTTCGAATCAGAAATTTGCTTCCAGTTTGGAAAAGGCGTACGGAAATGCGTGGATGCCTGCAGCAAAGTGCAGTGTGGTCCGAACGCGCTCTGCGTAGCTGAGAATCATAGATCGTCTTGTATATGCAATCCAGGATTTTCTGGAAACCCTGGCGATTTGAACGTTGGTTGCCAATTAGAGAAGAGTCTACCACCAAAGGAATGCGAAAACGATCATGACTGTTCGTTTGGAACGATCTGCTCAGTAGATGCGAATGGTATTCAGAAATGTATCAGCCCATGTGAAACGGTAGCTTGTGGTACCAACGAGGTATGCCAACTTGACGTCAACGGTCACCCAACATGCGCTTGCAAAGGTGAATATATCTGGAACCCTGTCACCTCAGCTTGCGAGAAACCTTCGGTGCCAGACTGCTCCACAGATGTTGATTGTGAGCTAACCGAGTCGTGTCAACCCGATGCTTTGAATATCTTGAAATGCGTTCCAGTTTGTGACCATTTCACATGTCCTGATAACGCTGCCTGCGTAACTGAGGCCCATCGAGGCCAATGTCACTGTTTGACAGGATACACAGGCAATCCGAATGACCGAAATGGCTGCAAACCACTCCTTCAGAATCAATGTACCTCTGATGCAGAATGTCAAGAACAGGAGAGTTGTAGGAAGCATGAAGAACATAAAATTATGATGTGTCAGCCTGCGTGCGATCAAATCAAATGTGGACCAAACGCAATCTGCGTTGTCAACAACCATGCGCCACAGTGTCAGTGCCCACCAGGTGCCTATGCTGGCGACCCTAACGATCTAAAAACGGGATGCAAATCTGTGCCATGTGTCTACAACATCGACTGTCCCAAATACCAGCTATGTGACAGAATGAGCCATACATGCAAGGATGTATGTGATGATGAATCTTGTGGCGACAATGCTGTCTGCATAGCCGAAGATCACAAATCCGTTTGTCAATGTCCACCTGGTACCGCACCAAATCCCATAGCGGACGTGGAATGTATCCCAGTAGAACCTTGCAAGCCCAGCCCCTGTCACAAGTCAGCAATCTGTAGACCAACATCATCTGGTCATACTTGTGTCTGTCCCCCTGGCAAGGTTGGCGATCCATATGCTTCAGGATGCCGACCAGAAGGTGATTGTCCAAATGGTGACGTTGATTGTCCACCAAAGTCAGTATGTAAAAGTAACCGTTGCGTCAACCCTTGTGACCAGTCTACTTGTGGGCCTAATGCCGTTTGTATCGTGCAAAATAGAACTGCTATTTGTACATGTCCATCAAAGTACATTCCCGCTATCAGCGGGATCCAGGATGGATGTCTTCGTATCACATCTCGTTGCGAATATGACGTTGACTGTGGTAACGATGTCTGCTTCAGTGGTCAGTGTAGATCAGTTTGTAGGAACAACAACGATTGCTCAGTTGGGGAAAAGTGTATGGAGAACATTTGTATGATTCCGTGCGCAGATCACAGTCAGTGCGCCAAAGACCAAGCTTGCGTCAACGCTACCTGCATCATCGGATGCAGAAGCAATAAAAACTGTCTCTCAGAAGAAGCATGTATCAACAATAAATGTCAGAACCCTTGCCAAGATGCTGCTTGTGGCCCCAATGCAATCTGCTCTGCTCATGACCACAAGACAGTTTGCAAGTGCCCTCCAGGCTTTGACGGAAACCCCACTCCTCAGCAAGGATGCATCAGAACACCATCCCTTTGTCAACAAAGCTCAGAATGTATACCACAACATGTTTGCCACGAAAATCAATGTTCGCTACCCTGTCAGAATACCACAGGATGTGCTATTGGCGAAAGATGCTATGAAGGATTCTGCGTTAAAGTATGCTACAGTGATAACAACTGTCTACATGGCGAGATATGCCTTAAGGGGGTGTGCCAACCTGGATGTGCCGAAGATAAGGACTGCAGGCCGTCCCAGATCTGTTCAGAAGGCCAGTGCAAGTGCGACAAAGGCTTCATAGGAACACCTTTAGGATGCATGGACATAGATGAGTGTGAAGCGAACCCTTGCCATCCAACAGCCATTTGCAAGAATCAACCAGGCTCTTACACTTGCATCTGCGAAGAAGGCAACGTCGGCGATCCTTTCATAGATCCGGGATGTGCAGCTCCAGGTCAATGTAGAAGAGACACTCAATGCGCGGATAATCTAGCTTGCAAGCAAGGAAAATGTCAAAATCCTTGTGAGACATCGCCTTGTGGAGCCCATGCAGTTTGCACAGTAACAAAGCACAAACCGTCCTGTTCTTGTCCTCCTGGTCATCTTGGAGATCCACAAGATAAGACACTTGGATGCTTCAAGGTGGAATGTTTGGAAGACATCGATTGCCCATCTAACAAATTCTGCGATGTTGGAACCAACAGATGCTTAAGTAAGTATTTTATCAATTCATATTAAGCAATTAAAATCAGTTGATACATATTTAGATCAGTTTTAAACTGAAAAAATCGAATCGTGTAAGCTATCATTCAATTCAATTCTTTAATGTCACTGTCAATACGAATGAAGAACTAAATCAATAAAGTGGCGGCTACTGTGTCCTCATGGACATATCTCAACATGCAGTAACATGCAGCCTCCTGCGTCCGTTTGTTTAGTCATATTGCAAAACTTGCTCTTTGTATAATCTAACCTGTTGTCTTTTTCAGACCCATGTGATGCCGTGAACTGTGGAAAAGGAACTTGCTCCATCGAAGATCACCACGCAATATGCTCCTGTTTTACTGGCTACGCCTTCAAGAACGACAAATGCGTTGACATAAACGAATGCCTCGAATCCAGCCCTTGCCATTCAACAGCAACCTGCATCAACACTGACGGAGGCTTCACTTGCAGTTGTACTGACGGTCTTGTCGGTGATCCAGTGGGCACTGGCTGCAGAAAACCTGGGGACTGTCTTACGGACACTGATTGTCCATCATCAGCTGCTTGCATCGACAACAAATGTAGAAACCCATGTGACAACCCTAGTGCTTGTGGCAAGAACGCTGAGTGCATCCCAGTAGCTCATGAAGCCACATGTAGATGCCCAGCTAGAACCAAGGAAGATGCCAACCACAACTGCATCTCGATAGACTGTGTGGATAACAACGACTGTGTAAATGATAAAGCTTGCGTAGATTCAAAATGTGTAAATCCATGTACCTTAGCGAATGTTTGCGGCGAAAAAGCAGCCTGCACTGCATCAAACCACCAAGGTGTATGCGTTTGCCAAGCGGGTACCACAGGAGATCCACATCTGGGTTGCGTACCGGTACAATATTGTGCTAAAGACGCTCAGTGTCCATCTGGCCTCAAGTGTTACAACGGACTATGTACTTCTATCTGCTCTTCATCCAGAGAGTGCATTGGAGATCAACTCTGTATCCAAGGTATATGCCAACCTACGTGTAAAACGAACACCTCTTGTCCAGAACATCAGTTTTGCCAAAACAACATTTGTATCCAAGAAGTGAAATGTAGGGCTAACCCTGATTGTGACTCCAAAGAGAAATGTCTGACCGATCCGCTAGGAAGAGCTGAATGCGTAGACGCTTGCGAAGGGGTGCTTTGTGGAAGAAACGCCGAATGTACTTCAAAGAACCACAAAGCTTCGTGTAGCTGTAAGTCAGGATACAAAGGAAATCCCAATGATGACAAGCTCGGTTGTCAAAAGGTGGAATGTGAGACCAACGAACAATGTTCCAACGACAAACTTTGCGACCAGTACATGTGCAAGATAGCCTGCTTGGTGCACAATCCTTGTGGAAAGAACGCCCTTTGCTCCGCTGAACATCACAAACAGACATGTTACTGCCAGCCTGGTTATACAGGAGATCCGTTGAGAGGCTGCAAGCTGATCGATTTCTGTGCTGATAGTCCTTGTGGACCAGGAGCTCAATGCCACAACTCAAGAGGATCCTTCAAATGCCAATGTCCTCAAGGTCAAGTCGGAGATCCCTATAACGAAGGCTGTAGGGCCCCAGTAGAATGCAATAATGACAATGATTGCCCTTCATTCGCCTCTTGCGATAAATCTAACGGAGTACATAAATGCAGAGATGTCTGCGAGAAAACCCAGTGCCTGCCAAACGCCGAGTGCGTAGCTGTTGATCATGTAGGACACTGCACTTGCAGGGATGGATATCAAGGTGATCCCAACGACCCTGTTACAGGTTGTAAACCGAAACTGCTGAACTGCAGAACAACCGCGGATTGTCCAGCGAATACCTACTGTTACGGCGATGTCTGCAGTCCTCCTTGTCAAGAAAACGTTGACTGTCAATACAGCGAGCAGTGTCTGTATGGTCAATGCATCAATCCCTGCGTACTGCCAAAGGCCTGTGGAGTCAATGCTCTATGTGAGATGGAAGAACACGTGAAAACATGCAGCTGCCCGCATGGATTCACAGGAAACACCGAGGTCGAATGTATCAGATGTAAGTATTCATTAGAAACTAGTGTTGAGGTGAAAGATTTGTCAAAATAACTATTTTTGAGAAAATAATAAATGTCAGCTACCTTCTGTCTGAGTGATACCAAAATGTCATAGATACGGACTACAAAATTAAGAAGTTGAAAGCTAGTTGAAGAATGTTTAAATTTTTCGTGAGTACACTTAGACGTTCACAATTTATATGGACTTGCACTGAATATACCGACACCTATACATGGACTAGTAAATATAAAAATCAGTTTAATGTCATAAGTCAAAAACTATTCTGTACTAATTTGATTTCAATAATTTCTAGTGCCAATACCATGTTCCACCAACCAAGACTGCACGAACTCTTCAGTTTGCAAAGATAACATGTGCCAACCTCGATGCAAGCTTGACACCGACTGTGCCTACAACGAGAAATGCCTGAAAGGCAACTGTCAACTGACCTGCCGTGTGGACAATGACTGCTTCCTGGGCCACATCTGCCTGCATCACATGTGCTTCTTTGGCTGTCATAGTGACGATGACTGTGCAAGCACAGAGTCCTGCATCAACAACAAGTGTGCCAGTCCATGTAGTGCCAACCCGTGCGGACCAAACGCAATTTGCACGGTGTCTAATCATAGAGCGACTTGCTCTTGTGGGGAAGGTTTTGTGCCTAATCCATCGGCTAAGGTGGCATGCGTCAGGGCGCCTGCGCAGCCGTGCAAGGAAAACAGAGAGTGTCAAAAAGGTAGGAAAATCAACACGTTAACATTTTCAAAGCTGACTCATTTTAACCAGTACAGATGTTAGTTGTATGATGAGCCTTTAATAATGATGATAATTATAATAATAATAATTATAATAATAATAAAAAGTACAACAGTACAACAAAAAAAACATAATATTTCAATGTTAAGAAAAGTAATAATAGTAGTAGTATAAATAAGTTGTGTATAAAATATAAATTATACCTAATTGTTTTACAGTTTATAGAATTAAATTTTGCATTGAAATATTTTATGAAGTGCAAGATTGAAAAAAAACTAGTATATTCATCCAAGATAAATATTTTAATGCGTTTTCTGAATTTTTCATAATTTAGCAATTTTATGGCATGTGAAAGTTCGTTATAGAGAATAACTGCGTTGTATATTGAGCATTTATGAAAGAATGATGCCTTGTGAAGAGGTATTGTGAGTCTTTGCAAAATGAATCGACTGAGTGAATGTAACTCCTAGGTATCAGTTTATCATTTAAAAATGGAGAAAAGACTTTAAGTAAAAGCTTATGGGCATAAATGACTCATATAGTTCTTTTACTCTCAGAAATTTCATGTCTCAAAGTAAGAGCTGGTATGATCATACTTTCTCCAACAATTGATGAACCTGCAAGAGGGATTTTAGATTTTTTGGAGACACGTGACAGAAGTGGAGTCTAAAAACCCAACTTAAACTATGTCACAATGAGCAATTTTGGGCATGATCAAGAAACAGTTTGTTTAGGTAATGTTGGCGTAGAATGGAAAAACAATTATAAAATAATATTAATAAAGTCGTCGCTAAAATTTATGTTAAAGCTTCTTTAACGGAGTATCACAACTCCGGAGGAAGTGTACTACTCTATTTTTATTTTGCATGGTTGTAGAATTTTGTTTTTTCATAATAAGGAACAAGGCCTCAAGGCATTGTTGGTTGTCAGAGCGGTCCATGGGATCTTAGCTCTTGTGTCATGGTGACAGTCTGGTAACCCAGAAACCGGGCAATATTAAGGAAAAAAGAAAAGAAAAGCAGAGAAGGGCGGTGTTTAAGTATTGTTAAGGTCATCTGACAAATTTTGACATGTCCCAAAAATTGATTTTTGTAAGGGCTTTGTCAAAATGTTATGTCAATATAAAATTGCAGACTACTCATTTGCAGTGCAAAGCACCCCTTAAATTGACGTAATTCATCCTGTTTGCTCTCCCTCATTCCTTCCTTTCCTTCCTCTCCAGACCTGACTTACAAACAGTCACGTATAGAAGGATCATTATTTTTTGTTTCCATTACTCACCGAGGGAGAAAAATGCTACTCCTCAATAAGAAACTGCACTCAATAATGACGATTTCTTGGGTTAATAGTGTAAAATTTTTTTCCAGGTAACATCTGCACAGAGGGCTTCTGTAGAACGATCTGCTCTTCTGATAAAAACTGCCTCAGCAACGAGCGTTGCGAAACTTCAACTGGAGTCTGCAAACCGATCTGCAGAAAGGACGACGATTGCAGGAATGATGAAATATGTGAAGGACTCGCTTGCACGATCGGTTGCAGGAGCGATTCTAATTGTCCCTCAGACGCTGCCTGTGTTAACAACAAATGCGTAGACCTTTGCGCGGCACCAACAGGTAAGCAATTGTCAATCTAGCTATCGCTTAACAACGCAATTTTCAATAATATCCACAAAAACATTTTTCTTGTACAGTTGTTCTAATAGACCAGTTGACACTTGATTCCATTAGATCTTTAATATTTAATATTTGTTGTATTAGACCAAAAAAATTAATACCTTAATTTTAATAATTAATTTAAAAATTTGAGTCAAGTATTTGTCAAATATTTGAGTGCGCTGCTAAATTTTTGTTGTTGTTGAATATTTATTTAGCATTAATGCTACAATGTCAATTTTGTATAATGATTCGGTTACATATTTTTCTTCAATCCATTTTCTGTAATTTTACATTCTTGTCTATTAAAATTAAAATTACGTCACTATGTATTTTGATTATTCATAAAGTGATTTTTTAATTTCACCTTAAACATTTTTAAATTGGAATTCTGTTTAATATCATTATTCATTTTAATAAATTCAAATACTCCCTCCTGAAATATAGATTTACTAGTTATGAGACTTTTACAATTTTGCAGATTATAACCTATACTGCCTCTAGTTTCGTAGTTATGATAATTACTATTTAATTTTGTGAAGTTCTCTAAATTTGATGGTAATAAATGATTTTTTAAACCTCTTAAAAAACATAGACTTAATCCTAGCATATTTGTTTTCATTTAAAATGATTCTCATAGCTTTATTTTGTAGAATTTGTAATTTTGAAAATATGTTTTCATTTGCTGTAAACAAGATGGTTGAACAATATAAAAAATGGGGAAGAGTTATAGTGTTATGCACAATTTTTTTGGACTACTTCAATTTTTTCATCATTAATCATGAGCCTAATTGTATTGTCACCTAAATGTTTCCCTTCTAAAATCATTTAACCCTGAAAAGAATATGATATTTACAGCGGAAATTGAGATGCTCGTATGATTCCTGCATTGACCAAACCGTGCGCCGTAGAGTGACAAATTCCTTTATACCCAAATACTATTTGTAATGCTTAAAAGTACAACTTTTTTACACAAATCCACTTATTCTCTTTTCTTTGAGTGATTTTATTTTCTATAGTCATCTGAAGAGATCGATTATTTATAATTAACAACTTTGTTTTTATCCATAGCTTGTGGAACAAACGCTCTATGCCAAATGGTGGAGCACAAGAAGCAGTGCGTCTGTCCTGAACCTCTGGTGGGTGATCCATTGGAAACCTGCAAATACCCCCTAAGGCAATGTCTTGTTGAACAGGAGTGTTTGGCAGGACAAACATGCGTAGCTGGAATATGCCAAGGAGTGTGCCGAACGTAAGTATCTGATTTGATTATATCAACATGCATTGTTTTTTACTTATTCTTACACCTAAAAAAATATCACGTAAACGAAGAAAATTATTGTTATTATTATAAATCCTTTAAAAAGCTAGTACTGGAGACTGATATTTACCTACAAATATAGAATGCAGTAATACTGAACACACGCCATATAGCACGTAGATTTCTATAACCAGAATAAATACCATTTTCCCTTTGGTTAAGACAATATTCACTAATATTCTGAAACTCAGATATTCCAGCGTAAAGATGCTGTAAAAACAGTGAATAATAATCATAATAAACGACTTTTTTATAATGATGCATTATAAATGGGTGAATTTTAGCCTCGACTAATTATAGAATAAAAAAATTGGAATTAACTATCCTATCACATAAAATTTTCTTGAAAAACTTGATCAAAATGTTTTGATTGGCATATAGAAGAATTTGATGCAAATTTGCACCTCTTGCTTCAGAACTGGGATTTCCGAATAAAGTCATTTGGTTTTTTTCATCATTCAATTTACGAGCATTGCCTTTTGCATAATTATTGATTACTTCTAGATCTTTGTTTATAAGTGAGAAGTGGGTATCATCGGCGTAGGTCATTATTTTACAGTTTTGAACAACTTTGGTTAAATTTGAGATGAATAATGTGAATAGCAGTGACCCTAAAACAGAACCTTGTGGTCCTCCATACTTTGTAAGCTCTAGTGATGAAAATTTGTCCCCTAATGAAACTTTTTGACTTCTACCAATTGAATAGTGCTGAAAACAACTCACAGTCTCTTCGGAAAGTCCTAAATAATGCAATTTTGATAATAAGAGTTCGTGGTTAATTGTATCGAAAGCTTTTGAATAGTCAATGAGTAATCAGTAATAAAAGTGTAGCATAACATTCATCAAAAGCAGTGATGATGTCATCATTTATCGACAGAAGTGCTGTATCCCTCTCCAAATCGATATTGTTGATCTGGAATTAGATTTTTGATAGTTGAGTAAGTCTTAAACAGTTTTGAAGCTATCCTATCCATTATTAAAAACTCATGGAAACGGTCTTTATTTAAACTTTTACTCCGTAATAAACTGATTTCACTCGTTATGTGAATTTCAGTATTATAAGGCATCAAATGTTAAGAACCACCAACGGACACACCCTTTCTTCCAAAAAAGTTTACTCTTTTTTATCTACAGCTTTGTTCATTCACGTTATATATTTTTATTTTGCAGTGATCACAGCTGTCTGGCAGACGAAAGGTGCATCAAAGGAGTGTGTAAGACAGTGTGTAACTCTGACGCTTCCTGTGGTCCAACTCAAATATGCGAGAACAGAATCTGTGAAATAGGCTGCCGAAGCGACTCAGTCTGTGCCTCAGACCAGGCTTGTATCAACAACAAATGCACGAGTAAGTATCATAGTTTATCATAATTCGATGGTTTCCAGGATAACTTTTGATGGAATTTTACCCTGGATACCTTTGAAAGTAAAACGTAAACACTGAACAGCTGAAGCTACATACTTTGTAACAACATAAAATGTAAGCTTAAGAAGCATGTATCTTATCCTTGGCTATTTGAATACTTGGACTGTCGTTCAAGGAAATGCCAAGCCACAAAACATACTATGGAAAATGGGATCCAGAAGAATTTCTATAAAAATTCAGTATAATATATTTCTTGGCTACCCAACAAGTGTCCATGAGATTTAAAAAAAATGGTGAATGTGTATACCAAAACCTCGGAGAATCAGTACCTACACTAAAAGAAATATTTCCTTAAAACACCTTGTTTTGTACAAAGGTGTTGAAAGGTATTACGCTTATCGTGATCATAATCCTTACAAGATTAGT